GGGGGGGGTAGCTGTGACACCCAACTGTTCTCTGTAGGGAGTGAGTTTTGCTTATTGTTATCCACCTGGACCACATGTTGTTGTCATGTAATTACCTTTGATGTTTCTCTATAAGAGAGTCTGTCACACTCAGAATGAGTCTTCTTGACAAGCATTACAAGAAAAGCCTCTACTAAGGGTGTCATCGAGTCCCCTTTCTTAAGAGGTGTTCCAGGAATAAGCTAGAAGGAAACTAATGGCTTCAGAACAAGAGCATTGGTACCCAACAAAAGAACCTCCGGGAATTTCCTAATGAAAAGGTTTTCGAGGGAATCTACAAACCATTTGGTCTCCATGGCGGTAAGACATAATAGTGTGACATAGAGGTGTTCCAGGAATAAGCTAGAAGAAAAACAACTAATGGCTTCAGAAGAAGGTCATCGGTACCCAACGAAAGAAGCTAAGCCAAGTAAAAAGGTTTTCGAGGGTATCTACAAACCATTTGGTCTCCATGACGGTAACACTCAATACTTGTGACATTTACAGAAATCCACTGAGTTCATCACGTTGTGAAATCATCAGACGTTTACAGACCTCGAAGCCGAAGAGGTGGCTCTGAAGCCAGAAGGCGATGACTTCCAGAATGATGCGTAGGAGAACGGAGATGATGTAGAAGACGGTGTAGACGGGGCGTTCGAGGATCTCTTCCTGGACGATGTTCTTACAGGCGGCGTAGAGGTGAAACACCGCCCCAGGAACCAGCACTGTCACCAGCTGTAACGCCCAAAAGACCTGGAGAGGGCACGAAGAAGGGGAGGTGGGGGTGAGAAAAGACAATGGGGGAGACAATGGGAAACAGAACTAGTGCTGCAGGAAGATGACTCCTCTCCAACTCTGCCTTTTTTTCGTTTTATTTCAGTGTTTGCTTGTTTGTATTTTATTAAACATGTTGCATTGTTGGAGGAGCTCAGCATTCTCCATTTCTACACTGTAGCTTCTGAGCATATAACAATAAGACCTTTGAATCTTGAGCTGTAACAATCTTTAAAAAGTGGAAACAGGCACCAACATTTATTATAAAAATGCCCAACATTTCCAAAATTGCGACCATTTTCCATCATTTCAAGCCAGGGAAACAGTTTGATACCACATCATTTAAACCACTGGATCAATTGAGATCATTCTAGTATTGGATGATATGGTATTGACTACGAGGAAAGTCAATTTCACTATTTAAAAAACTTCTTCACAGCTTCTTTGGGTCATTTCAAACACAAAATGTTCAAATGTGGGGCTTATTGGCTACCCAGTCCTCCATTGAGCCAGATTATTTCCATTGTATGTCTCAGATATGTTAAAAATAAGCTTCTGAGTAATTCCCCATGTCTGAATTGTGTTTCTACGTGTTCAGAAATGTATGATTAGACATCAAGGTCCGTCATACAGGGCAAGTGAAAGAGACTTTATGGCATTTTAATGACATTTCCAAACCATCGCTGGTGACCATCGTAAATTGCCACTATCTTGGATTTTGGATTGGTTAACGGGCTTTTTCAAAAGAGTAACCTGAAAGGAGCTTATGTGCAGGGGTGCACATAACTGGTACGCAGGTACGCATGCGCGGCAACAATCTGAAATGCGTACCGTCACTTGTGTCACAAAGCGCATTTGCGTACCGACGTACTTGTGAAGCTTTTCCAGAAGGCGGTTAGATCACCGGACGACAGAGTCGGTCTCCGTGTGCACAGACAGGGCTGCTGTTAACGTCGGTCTGTACGACGGAATTGTGCCAAAACTACGCCAACCGGCTGCGGAGGGAGACTCCCCCCCTTCACTGGAGAACTGCGCTAAAACAGCTGATCACAACGTTCACACTCTGTGGTCATGAAGTACTCCACTAGCACCCCCCCCCCACCCCTGTTGACGTTCGCGATACAGAGGGTTCCATCAAATAACTTTGAGTGGAGCCAGAAGTTGGAGTACCAAACACTGATTCCAGGTACTCATCTGAGTACCTCACTGAGAAAGTTATGTGCACCCCAGTTTATGTGCCAAGCGTAGTACTAGGATTTCCCTGGTACATTCAATTATCTACAAGCACTGAGGAATCCGGAAAGATATAAAGGGAGTATAGGCTGATGGGGGGTTAAAGGTTATGGGTTTGGAGGGAAAGAGGTTGACCAGGGAGAGACGGAGCATCAATAAATGAGGGAAATTCATATTTATACATTCATCACTAGACACATTGTGTTTTCAATTGCCCATCAAGATGAATACAAGATGGTGTTTGTGTCTTTGGAAAATTAATATTTCAGTAAGTTAACGTCCGCAGAAACAACTTTTAAAAGGTAGCCTACCTTAGTTCTGTTTGCAATGTGATACTAGAGGTCAGAAATATGAACTTGGCAGCTGCTTCATAGAGCTTCTTTAATATGTAAGAAGATCACAGTTATGCAGAGATGTTATTGGATCTTTAAATATTAATTCACAGTGGATTTAAGAATAATAAAATAGCAAATAATATTGCCCAGTAACTCATTTTAGAACGAGTAGATGTGATATTACTCCTGCGTTGCTAACATGGTTCTCTTTATACGTCCATGACTGATTTATATAATAATGATTTATATAAGTAGTTATCACAGCAATAAACCGTATTGAATTTCGTCTTTATTGCATATTTAATTGTATTTACTGGTCCCACCTGGGGGGGCTGGACATTTGTATTTCCACATATATTTTTTTACTTTTTAATGCTATTTTATTTCTATTTTAGAAATATTTTTGGATTATTTATTTCTAGTGTCTTGATGTCTCTTATGTAAATACAACAGCCTTGTTTTTTTATGCTGCTCCAACGCATACATTTCCCAAACTGGGATCAATAAAGTTCTTATCTGTCTATATGTTGCACATATTGCACATATTGCACATTTGATGCACTGGTCCCACCTGGGGCGTGATGGGTCTGAACTGGTTGTAGCAGAACAGGTTGAGCTCTCGGCGGTCCGGGTCGCAGCTGAAGTGCAGCGCCTCGTTTCCATACACCGCGAAGCCAAGGACGCCCAGGAAGAACATCCGCACCGAGCCGAAGAACAAGGTGTGGAACTGGCCAATCACAGTGGGAGGCCGGAGCTGCAACACACACACACACACACACACACACACACACACACACACACACACACACACACACACACACACACACACACACACACACACCTTTTGTCAGTCAGATGAATGCAGGTTTTGAAGGCATAAACAAACCTTCAGAGGAGACACAGCTCCTCACACTCATCACATTAACAGAGAAACACACTGAAGCACACAGAGTGCAGCGTGAGCATGGAGGGGAATCTGGTTAGAAGCCGAGAGTGGAAACTCATGAAGTGTCCGCGTGGAGGAGATATCTACGATAAACAGTATTTTGTTTAACCGTGCAGTATTTATTTTACATTCTGTTAACATGTATAGACTCCTGCACTTCCATGTCTTATATATATACGTATGTAGCATCGTTGGAGGAGCCTGGGACTTTTTAATTGCCATATCTACGCTGTAGCTGCTCTGCATGTGACGATAACACCTTTGAGTCTTGAGAGTAATATAAATCTGCTTCCTGATACTCACGCATCCTTCATAGAAGTTTCTGATGTAGTTTAAAGACATGTTTTCCCTCTCGTTGAATCCTCTCGCTCATGGCCGGTTTGATGCAGCCAAACAACAGGAAGAAGGCCTCAAACTGCCCCCCCCCCTTCTCTATCTACTCTGAAAGCCATGTCAATGCATTTTTGGGGCCTTTTATCCCTCCATCCATTGATCTGCTCAGGAGAAAAGGTACAACAGAGACAGAGGGCCGAACACTGGCTCGTTCCCTAATCCCTACAGAACCATGTCAGCGGAAAAAAAACACAAACGCCTGTCGCACACAATGCAGAGAGAGAGGGACGGAAAACACAATGACGGGCATTTCATATGAGAGATACAAATATTTTGAAAAGCGCGTTTAAATCATCATTATAATAAACTGCCCATTTTAATAAAGACTTTCTAGACATCACAATCATCCACAGTGACGCCAACACACACACACGCACACACACACACACACACACACACACACACACACACACACACACACACACACACACACACACACACACACACACACACACACACATATACACACACATCCACACACACACACACACACATACACACAAAACAAAATAGATTCAGAATATGAAAATGAAGATATATAATGTATCAAAGCTCAATCAAAATATTTTATAGAAGTTGAAACACTAAATAGGTTTCATTATTATCAGGTAACAACAACAACAACAACAACAACAAACATCATATCAGTCACCTCACACCTGACCTCAGTGAAGGTCACACACACGCACACGCACGGACACACACGCAGAAACAAACCTGCCACGCGCGCGACCGAACAGCGAAAGAGCTCTGCGCGTGCACGTGGTGTCGCGCGCTCAGGCTGCAGCCTCCTCCAGATTCCAGAAACAGGCGCGGGTCCTCCCGCCCCTGCACGCGCACACAGTCCGACCGTGTCGTGCACGCGCGTCGTGCCTGGGGCCGTTAATCGGTGTTTTACCGGGAGATGTGCAGGTTTACCGGGAGATGTGCAGACGGTTTGTTGCTGCAGATGATCTCGCGAAAAACCGCGTCACATCTCGCGAGAGGACGGATCATAGGCAGGTCACGTGATCATAGTCTGACAGAGGGAGTTTACAGTGTTTCAGAAAAAGAGACAAAAACATGAAATAAATACAGAGTATGGGTCATTCTACAGAAAAGGTGGAAGTACTGTCACTTACTTTT